CGTCTCTACAAAGCTGCCTGTGACCGAAGGAGATACACAACAAGTAAGGGAGATGAGCTTCCTTGCACAGAAGTGTCTGAGCCGGGATGCGCTGGCGCTGTCCTGCCCAGCACCGCCAGCCACCGAGCCCCAGCGTCGTGGCATCCTCGGCTGGCGGGCGGTGCCGTGGGCAGCAGCTGTGTGGGCTCCCCGGCGTGCGGCAGCCCGAGTGCCTGGAACTGATGTTTGCTCCCGAGGGAGCAGAGCCGCCTGGCTTTACCGACCAAATGCTTTCCCTTTCTGCTTAGCTCCAGAGGAAGAGGCACATCGGCAATGACATTGTGGCAATTATCTTCCAAGAAGAGAACACGCCGTTTGTCCCAGACATGATCGCCTCCAACTTCTTGCACGCCTACATTGTTGTGCAGGTGGAAAACCCCGAGGCAGATAACACGGTGTACAAGGTAAGGGGAATCTCGACTTGTACGTGCTGATTTTCGCTTCGGCCTCTCAGGCTGAGGTCTGGAGGTGGCTGCCCAGCGGCTGCCCTGCCCGTGTGCTCAGTGATACAACCAGTATTATACCTAACTGGAATAGGTATGTGTATATTAAACATACATATACACACACACACACACACATATTTATCTATGCGCTATTACACAGTGTGTGTGTATACATAAGTATTTGTATAAAATATGTGCATGTATAATAGCATGCACATTATGCTACTCAATAGTTGAATAAGCCTCAGAACAGCTCATACCTGTCTAACACCGCTCAAGTGCAGGGAGCATAAACCCTGTTATCTCTGTTTTCTAATGAAGAGATCCAGTAAGACATAACTTTTCAAACTGAAAGCACATTGCTTAGAGCCACAAATGAAAACAGAATTCATAGGAAGTAAATGTAAAAAGCTGTGCATGGTTAACCCTCTCATGAAAGCAGGAGTGATGACTGATGAGGGCTGGGGAGGAGCGGTCTCTCCGGCAGGGTGAGGGCTCTGGGATGCCCCTTGGCTCTCAGGTGCTGGGCTGAGCTGGGCTGAGCTGGACTGGGCTGAGCTGAGCTGGGCTGGGCTGGGCTGGGCTGAGCTGCCACAGAGCAGCTCCGCAGCCCCCTGACACAGTGAAGCTGCTGGGGCCGTTGCAAAGCACATACTCGCGCTGCCCTGCTGCACCCACGGGAATAACATTTCTCTTGGCTCCGCAGGTGTCCGTCACGGCCCGGGAAGATGTCCCCTCCTTTGGCCCGCCCCTGCCAAGCCCGCCAGTATTTCAGAAAGTAAGAGATGAGACGGAAAGTATGTTCCAAGCCATAAAAAAACCTATGTGTATGTCCGAGATGTTTTCTTAGGGAAAACATGACTTCTGGAATTTATATGCATTTATTTTGATTTCTAGTGAGGCCCATGGGGTTTATGGTAGGGTGGGAGGCTGTGCACGATCGCACAGTGTAACCCCTGCAAGTCGGCAGCTGCGGGCCTTCTGTCGGGGCGACCGGTTCAGCGGG